CCTGTGCAAATGCACAGGATTAATTCTAGTGAGGTGGCTAAGGTGAAATCGGGAATTTAGAGCTATAACACAGACTTTCAAGGGCACTTCCATTGGCTTCGTAGGGAGAATCTAACACGTGGCGGCAGCCCAATGGCTTCTACAATAATTTGCCATTTTTTTATAGTTGTTTTCTTTTAATTGTGTGATTTTGAGATTTTTATTTTCTAATATTTGGAAAAACGGCTATAAATATATGAAAATAATAATTAGCTTTCAAATATTTTTTAAAAAATATAATAATTTATATGATAATTATCTTTTAAAGTATAACATGCTAGCAGTATAATTTATTTGTAACATTACTTGTTTTATCTATCTTAATTTTTTGAATTGGTGAATAATGGATAATCATGAAGGGAATATATCACCTGATTTGGTATTGTTAGTGCTAAAATAGTGAAGATGGATTATAAAGTTTTATATTGTATATGAACTAGTCTTGCAAACAAGTCAGAAATGTTTGCAAACGCTCGAATCAAAGCTAGTCTCGAGTTAAAAAAAAATAAAAAAAAAATTGGGACAAAAAACGCGAGTCGAGCTCGAACTTGTATTTTGTAAGCTCAATTAAACAATGAGCCGCTCGAGTATATGTATTACCTAGTACCATAAGCTAAGTTTGGCCTAAAATTAACAAAAAAAAATGTCCTTAAATTTGAGCCGATCTCGAGCTGATGCATATCGATCGAGTTGATTTCAAAAGTTTGTATAATATTCTTGAGTCGAGCCTTGACAAGCTTGGCTCTGGTCGATCTTAAGCTCGAGCACAAGCCAAAAAAATCAAACGCAACTCAATAAGCGCATTGCAACTCTTTTGCAACCCTACTATTAACATATGGGCATTTTCTCCTACCATATAATCTGAAGACGAATGTGCTGCTATCTTAAACTTCTATTCTAGAATGAATCAATCAAATCAAGCACCAAAACCTTTGTATGTGGAACAAATTAATTCTAAAGGAATGAAGTCTATATGGCTTTCTCCAAATATTTTCCAAAAGCAAATGAGGTTAAGATATGGTAGTTGACATGCGTCATATTTACGTGCATTTTATAGTAATTTTTGTGCCTGTTTCGTCGTAATTTGATATATAACTAATTATTATATAATTAATTATTTTTTAATTAATTATTTATTTAATTAATATTATTAAGCTATGACAAAGGTGTTTTATTTGAGTTTTGATAGAAAATGGTGTTCGATATAATTTATTATTGGAGTCGGAAACGACAAAAATCGGTCGAAGGCCATGTGCACGCGCTGCATTAGAACTATCTCAAGTACAAGGCCCGTAGGGAGATTAAAGGCAGCCCCATTTAACACTCCATCAGCACCCAATTACAAGGTCCAGGATAAATCTTTAACAGCAGCCCAATACATATAATTGGCCCAAAATCATAAAAGGCTTAAGTGAGGGCATGATAGTAATTTGCACAATTCAGCTTTGTCTTCCTCAAATATCACGTACAGAATGCAAGTCCGCCATTGATGAGATGCGGCTCGTTCATCACCTCGCCACCACGCCGATTCTCAGCCACCGGAGACCACGTTGATGGCCGTCATTGCCAGACCGTCGTCGGAGAAGAAGCTTGGACGTCAAAGGCGCGCCGGAAAAGCTGCTGTCAAAAGCCGCCGGAAGTGACTGGAAATGGACGGAAATCGCCGGCGCACCACCTGGACGTATTAAGACCACGGGGAGTCGACTGGGATGTCGGAAAACCGACAAGGAGCATCTATATGAGCTAAAAGTGAAGATTTCGAGCTATTTTTGGTGCCCAGGTACACACGATCGTGTGAGCCCGAGAAACGGCTCGTGTCGTTCCGACGGGTCGTGAATTCAGCTCTCGACTTTGTCACACGACTCGTGTGACTAATGACACGAGTCGTGTGACCCTGGGCGCGATTTGTTCGAGTTTGACGCGTTTTTCCGATTTTTATGGTATTTTCGACCTATTTCGACTAGGACTCGACCCCAACTATTTAAGAGACACTAGGGCACGTTTTTGAGGAGTCTTACACATAATTTTCACATCTTTAGAGATCTTTGGAGGCTAGAAACACGAGCAAGACGAGGGAAAAAGCCGGGAAGAAAGGATCGACGGAGCCGAATAAGCTTTTTCTTTCTTTTTCTTTTCCTCTTTCGAACTCAATATTTTATATTTATTTTTTTTATTTTGAAAGCATGTTTCTAGGCTAGATTTATCTTAGATTCTAGGATTTGTTAGTACTCGGATTGATTTATGATTTAGTTTTTATTTATTTCATTCCGGTTTATCTTTCGTCTATGAATTTCTTTTGCTTATTATTATTGTGTGAGTAGATGGCCACTATGAATGCATATTTGTGATCGATTTGAGACCGAGAGGAGATAATTGATTGCTAGAATTGAGAAATTTATAACGTAAGACAATAAACAGACGAGAGGTTGATAGGACCTTGCGAGAGAATGAAAATCCTAGGAACTTATGGGAGTTAGTTGTTCATCTTGAGACCGAGAGGAGATAGATAACAATTAATATCTACGATTTGACTTGTTCGAGAGAAAGGTTTGAAATCAATTTAGCGATTATCTCTACGATTGGTAAAATTAAATAAGGTTTGTTTGAATATAAACGATTCATGAATTAATTCCAAGGAACACTTAGCCTAGAATCTATCGTTTGTATCTTATTTTATTTTTTAGATATATTAGTTTTTAGTTTAATTCTTAGTTTATAATCACCATTCAATTCACTAGTCTAGATAATATTTAATCGTTATTACTTTAGTACTTAATTAATTTAACTACAATCTCTGTGGAATACGACCTTGCGCGCCACTACCTATAGCTACTCCGTACACTTGCGGATAGCGAAAATAATTAGCGAACAGTAGTCGATCAGATAGAAATATTAGCGAGAGATTAGAGAGGAAAATTTACTAAAACTTGTTTCTTTTTGTTTCATAAGTTTTCTTTTGGACATGAACAACATATAAAAATTACTCCATGTAGCTGCAAATCACTTTTTATAAATATTTGATTTGTCATATATTTATGTCATTGACTTTTAAATTGCATTATTTTTTGGTTTACTTGTTTATGAATTATTTATTTATTTAATTTGATGATCGTAATATTACAAAAATAAATAAATAAACATTTGAGAGTATTTATATTCTTTTGGTGTGTGTGTGTCTGAATTTTGGGTGATAATGGATTTTTTATTTTTTATTTATTTATTTATTTATTTATTTATTTTGCAAATGGGCTTAGGTCAGATTATATGGTGTCCTTATTCCGCCTTCATGTTGTAGCAACTAGCATCTGAGATGTTTAGATCTGTTGGAAATTAATCATTGTCCAAATGGACATACATAAACTTTCATTATAACCAGTGGGCCTCTGAGTCTTAATAATAATATTTGAACAATTTAGCCCAATTCATGTAAGAGGCCCAACTAGAGTTCGCTTGTATTTTTTTATTTAAAATAATTATATTTAAACCAACCATATTATTGTGTGCACACAAATTAACAAATAACTTCAAGTCGTTAGGCTTGCTTGGATACAAATATATCAGCTTTGTTAACTATCATTAATTTTGAAAAGGTTGGCATGATTAGTTATTAGTAGAATTTTTGAGTTTATATTAAAATAATATTTATAATAAAATAATTAAAGTTGATTGATGAAAAAATAGGAGATACATTACATAAATTGATGTTTAATTAAAATTATGCGAGTTGATGAATAGTGAATTAAAATTGATGTGATATGTAAGAATAATTGGTTAATATAATTTAATTATATTGATAATAGTGAAGATAGTGAAGCTTGATTATAGTTGAGTTAGATTTTGAATATGAATTGAGATAATTTATAAACAAACCCACCCTAACTCCCGAGCAATAAAATTCTCACTGACAACTAAATAATTTTGTTTAGAGAAATAATTATCTACTCGTAATTAGAACATGGTCTATATAACTCATAATTTGCTCCAAGAAAATAATAAAATTCTAATTTATATTTTAAATAGAATTTTAAAGAGAAAATGAATGAATATTCTAATGCTATTATTTACATTGTAATTAAGTTTTATTGAAATTTTCGTTGGATTTTAATGATTCTAATGTGGATTTTTCAACGACTCAAAGATAAAAACAAAAAAATAATACAAATCACATATTTTAATGAGAGTTCCAAATAGACAACCATTGAANACAGAATCTGCATATTTAAATGGAATTTTCTACAGTAATAATTTTTTGGGGAAATGATTATTGGAATCATCAAATTATCGAACTAAAATTTTAAGAAAAATTCAATTCCAACAAAAATAATATAGTGTTGATCTATGTTGGAATATCCATTATAATTTTTCAATTAAAACCATACCACTGAATTTTTCATTGGAATGTGTCACAATTCCAATATAATAACTTTTTTGTATTGATTCCGTCAAATAAAACATAATTCCAACAAAATATACGTTTTCAAATATCAGTTACCAAAGTACAGAAAATGTGCTAACACAATATTGTCATTTGTGAACTAGACTTTTAAATTGTGTACTAGAGAGCATTTTATTGGTAAGAATTTTTTTTTCTTTTACCTAATTTTACGGTTCCATTTCCGTAAATAGAAGACTTGGAAAAATTTTCAAAATTGAATGAAAAATTAAATCTCATAAGAAATGAGTTAAAATTTAAGAAATATTGAGTGTTAATAGCTCGGAGTTAACTAGGCTCGAGAGATAGTTGACTCAAACAAGCACAAAAGGTTAACAATATTATTATTTATGAAGGAAAACTTGTGTAATTAGTGATAATAAAAATATTTCCCCTTATTCCAAGAATCATTAAAATTAAGATAAAATGACTTTTTACAGCTTGCTTGTGTTTACTTGTTATTATAATCTGTAGAGCCATAGAGCAGTAAAAAAACGTTCCCAATTCCGTAAAATTAGGGCTTCCGGCAATGGCCGACAACGTTCCCAATTCCCTCACCGACGGCACGGCGACCTTCGATCCCGGCGATGAGAATCGGCGCTCCAGCCATGAATCCGAATTCCCAGTCTTAGACCGTAATGCCCTATCAGCATCCAAACGCCCTAAAATTTGTAAGCGTGCTGGTGAACCTTTGGAGAAGCAGTCACCACCGACCCAACAACAATCCCAGGAACCTAATCAAGAGCCACAACCTCGCAAATGGTCCTTTAAAGATATGGTCAATAAGCAGAGACAACACGTGGATATGGTGCTGGAAGATGATGGGAAAGGTAAGGAGGAAGAAGATGTCTTTGTGGACCTATCCCGCCCAACCCCGGAGATTACAATTGCCAAAAGTTTCTTTGAGAAGATTAACAAAGACTGGCAAAATGCGGTAGTGTTAAAACCTTTCGACGAGTCACTCACCATGGCATCCCTATACAACCGTCTCACTAGAATGTGGCCGTTCATGGCGGGATGCAATATGATGGACCTTGAGAACGGCTTCTACCTTATCCATTTTCGCAACCAAGATGACTCGAGTAAAGTCCTCACTGGGGGGCCATATGTGGTCAGAAATAGCTATATGCACGTGCAGCCCTGGACCCTCTCTTTTGATGCAACAAAGGAGGAACTCTCGGCGACGGTAGCGTGGATCCGATTACCCGGGATGCCAGCCCACTTATACCATAACAAGATATTTCGTATGATTGGCCGGATTGTTGGTAAGGTAGTCAAAATTGATCAACAAACTGCAGCCCTTACCCGTGGCAAATACGCGAGGCTTGCTGTGATGGTTGATTTAACAAAGCCACTCTGTGTGAACTTTACCATCAACGGGAAAACGCAGAGAGTGGTTTACGAGAGTTTGCCGGTTATTTGCTTCAAATGTGGGAGAATTGGCCACTCGGGGAACTCGTGCGCCCACCACCCGCGACCCACGGAACAGCAGGGCCCTAAGTTTCCACAACCTGATGTCGATACGAGGGGCGTGAGGAATATCGTTGGGTGCTCTGGTGAGAAGGAGACGACGACGTGCGGTGGACAGGAAGAATTGTATGGCCCATGGATCCAGGTTCCTCAACGTATACGTCAGCCATACTCCAAGCGCAATCTTGGGATGGACAAATCCCACACCACCAAAAGCCCACCCCAACCTATGGGATCGAGGTCTCGCTTTGATCTATTGGAACGGGAAGATACAAGGGAGTCTCACCAGGTCTTCGAATTTGGTACCACTTCTACGGCGAGGAATACGGGGAAGGTGGACTTATCTAAAAAGAGCACTAGGGAGACGGAAGAGCGAGAGTGGCGTACGGTTTCGCGAAAAGGAAAGCAAAATGACAAGGCTAAAAGTGGTGAAGCAAGAACCGGAGCAGCCAGTGGACCTGATCAAACGGACGGACCAAAGGTGACCTCGAACAAATCTACAGAAAATAGTATTGGGATGGCAAAAAGTGATGGAAAATCTAAGGGCAGCATGGGAGCAACAACCCGTTTCAACTTTCCATCTCAGGAAGAGCATGTCCGAGTAAGTGCTGGGCTCGACCCGACAAAACACCGAGCTCTCGTCGTCACAGGTAAAGGGCTAGAGCGACCAGACGGCACACCTCAGCAAGATGTAGATGAGGACGCCTTAATGGCGGAGGGAGAGCAGAACATTCGACGCCAGGATCCATGGCCGGAGGACTCGGACTCTCAGGGGGGTCTGGACGACAGCCCAAACGAACGCACGTACATGGAAGAATGTGTGGATACGTCGGTCCATAATTTGGACCAATGATGTGTTACAGACCGTTTTTTCCCCCCTCAGTTTTGTTTTTCCAAATGAATATACTCACATGGAATGTTCAGGGTGCGGGCTCGCCTGTATTTCGGGGTGCTTTCTCTACCCTTATTCAACAATATAAACCGGACATTGTGGCTCTCTTTGAGCCACGCATTAGTGGAGTCAATGCGGATAATTTCGTACGGTTTAGCAAATTTGAAAACTCCTTCAGAATCGAAGCCCAGGGATTCTCCGGGGGCATTTGGGTTCTGTGGGATGATGACGTACAGGTTGATGTGTTACATTATACCCGACAACTGGTGCATGTGAGGGCAACCAAAAACGCTGAAACGTGTCTAGTGTCCTTCATTTATGCCAGTCCCAGTGCGGCCCTTCGCAAGCAACTGTGGGTTGACTTAGGGAGACTAGCGACGAGTGTCTCCGAACCATGGATAATTGGTGGTGACTTCAATTGTCTTCTCCGTCGGTCTGAGAAAATAGGGGGTTCTTCCACCTTCTGCAATGTTAGCCAGGAGTTTGCTAATTGGATATTCGATAATAGTCTACAGGAGGTGGCTACTGACGGACACCGCTTCACGTGGTCTCGGGCTACTCGCCATGGAAGGGTGGCGGAGAAACTGGACCGCTTTATAGCCAATATTCCTTGGCTAGAAATGTTCGAGATGGGCCGGTCCCGTATTTTCCCTCGGTTTCAGTCAGACCACGCGCCTCTCATGCTGAGTTTCGGTCGACAAAACCCTACACAAATAGGAGCGAAGCCTTTCCGGTTTTTGGCGGCTTGGATACTTCACCCGGACTTCAAAGATATGTTACTCGACAAGTGGCAGCCAACCCGGTGTTTCCTGGATGCATCAGAGAACTTCACACAGGCGGCCAAGGAATGGAATCTCAGGGTATTCGGGAATATTTTTCGCCGAAAGAAAAAATTGCTGGCCCGATTAGGTGGCATCCAGCGTAGCCGGCACCCCCATGCACAGCTCTTGGCCCTCGAAAAACAACTCCGTGAAGATTTGGAGGAAGTAATACGGCAAGAAGAACTACTTCTTCTACAAAAGTCGACTCGGGACTGGGCTTATCTCGGAGATAGAAACACGGCCTATTATCACCGACAAATCAAAAACCGTAGGCGACGGGGACGTATAACGGCTTTGACCAATGATGAAGGTAACCTGATCACGGACCTACACTTACTGAGTGATTTAGCCACTGACTTCTTTAAAGGCATCTATACTGCGGAACCCGATACCTTGCTGCCAGCGACCCCGACAAACCTCTTTCCACACTGTGACATTGATATTATGGGTGGTCTTGAAGATAACATCACAGACGAAGAATTTTCTTCTGCCTTAAATAACATGGGCCCGCTAAAAGCTCCGGGTAGGGACGGGCTTCATGCTCTCTTCTATCAAAAAAACTGGGATATTGTGGGACCGGCGACCCAAAACCTTATTCGAGGAATGTGGCAGGATGGGGTGGTACCACACAAAGTGAATCAAACTTTACTTGTTTTGATCCCGAAAATTGAAAACCCCAGCACCATCAGACAGTTCCGACCAATTAGCCTGTTAAATGTGGTATACAAACTCTTCACGAAAATCCTGGTGAACCGAATGAAGAGCACACTGCCTTTACTGATTCATCCAGCACAAGCCAGCTTTGTGCCGGGCCGACATATCACGGATAACATCATCATCGCGCAAGAATTAATCCACACGATGCGTGAAAAGCGAGGGGGAAAGGGTTGGATGGTAATCAAAGTGGACTTAGAAAAGGCCTATGACTATCTGCGATGGGACTTTATTGAAGAAACTTTGAACCTAGCTGGCTACCCCGCTAAGTTTATTCGAGCAGTCATGGCGTGTGTGAGTTCTGCTTCGATGAATCTGTTATGGAATGGGACCATGGGCGAGGAATTCCAAACCACGCGAGGCGTCAGACAGGGAGACCCCATCTCCCCTTACTTATTTGTACTCTGCATGGAAAGACTCGCTCAAAGTATATGTCAATCGGTGGAGGAACTGTCTTGGCGTCCTATCTCGGTTGGCCGAAATGCGGTAAAAGTCCCCTTTTTGATGTTTGCTGATGATCTCCTCCTTTTCTTGGAGGCCTCCGATGATCAGGCGCGACTTTTGAGCCGAATTCTTGACCGCTTTTGCACCAGGTCCGGACTCCGAGTAAGCTCGGCAAAGACTCAGGTCTATTTCTCGAGAAACGTGCCGCCACAGGAACAAGAGAGGTTGGCGGCGGTGATGAATTTCAAGTTGACGAGTAACTTGGGGAAGTATCTAGGGATGCCGATACTCCATGAACGCATGACCAAAGCAACATATCATCATATTTTGGAAAAGACAGAATCACGCCTAGCCGGGTGGCGTATGAAGTTACTATCTTTAGCTGGGAGAGTAACCCTTACTCAATCGGCCCTGAGCACGCTTCCCTACTACTCCATGCAAACCACTCTGTTACCATCTGTGACTACAGAGGGTCTCGAGCGGAAGTGTCGAGCATTTGTATGGGGTGGATCTGACGAACGAAGGAAATTACATTTGGTGGCGTGGAAAGACGTTTGTAAACATAAAAACGAGGGCGGATTAGGTCTCAAGGACCTTCGCCACATGAACAACGCTCTACTAATGAAAGTGGGGTGGGGCCTGCTAACCAGCACAGATTCTCTTTGGGTGAGGGTGCTCTCGGCGAAATACGGGCTGAACTTTGCCACGAGCATGGAGTTGAAATATAGGCGACAAGGATCGAACTTAATTCGCGCTCTTAGCCAAGTCTGGCCCCATGTTGTCAAAGGTATCCGTTGGGTGCTGGGTAATGGAAGACGGGCTAGTTTTTGGCTCGACTCTTGGTTGGATAATAGTGGGCCGCTCGTGCGATTTATTAACATTCACTCGCACTCGGTAAATGTCCACGGGAAAGTCGCGGATTTTGTGAATGATGGTGGCAGCTGGAAATGGGGAAGTATGCATGGCTTCCTCCCCTCCTCCGTTATCCTTCGTATTGCCGGTACTCTCCCCCCACGTGCAGATGCGGGAGACGATCGCATGATATGGGGTTTTTCTGAAAATGGGAAATTCTCTACTAGTACAGCTTACCGAGCCATCACGTGTACCGAGAGAGACCACGATCAACCCCTATGGAGGGCTATCTGGCGAGCTCCTGCACCGCAACGAGCCCGTACCCTATTGTGGCTTGCCGCAAAGGAACGCATCCTTACTAATGTTGAGCGGATGAGGCGTCACCTGTCGGCATCATCAGAGTGCGACCTGTGTGGCGAGCCGGAGTCGATCCTTCATGTGCTTCGTGACTGTCCGAATACCAGGAGATTTTGGGAACGCCTGCTACCAGTGACATTTAACAGGAATTTTTTCGAGCAGCCCGTTAAAGCATGGATCCGCACAAACCTGATGAAAATGCGCTGGGGAGATTATGGGACTTGGAGCAGCGTCTTTGCCATTGCCGTGTGGAGATCGTGGAAGTGACGCAATGAGCGAGTGTTTCAACACACTACATTGAGTGTCGAGACTCGAAGGTTAGAGGTTTTGCGATTTGCAGATAGCTACACCCGGGCGACGGCGGATTATACGCGGGTCGGGGCTGCCATACACATTACACGAATGATTCGTTGGAACCCCCCGGCTGAAGGATGGATAAAGGTTAATACTGATGGGGCGCATAATATTACAACGGGTTTGAGCTATGCGGGTGGTCTGGCCCGTGACGAAGCGGGAAGGTGGATTGAGGGTTTCATCTTGAATATTGGCTTCTGCACTATTACTGGGGCTGAACTATGGGGTCTTTTCCAAGGGTTACAGCTAGCGTGGGAGCTGGGATACAGTCATGTTATTGCCGAGGTGGATAGCCTTTGCGTGCAAAAGATGGTTTGTGGAGCCAATGGCGGACATGGTTCCCGTGAAGCAATGGTTAAGGCCATTCGGAATTTGGTCCAAAGAGAATGGAGTGTTCGGATCCAACACGTACATAGAGAAGCCAATTATGCGGCTGATTACATGGCGAGCCTGGCGGAAGCCTACCCGATCGGTTTACATCGCATCACCTCCCCCCCGTGGGAGTAGGAACTTGGCTCGAACATGATAATATTGGGGTCTCATATCCCCGTCGAGTAATAGTTTAGGTGAATGGCCTCCTCTTTTGTACCAAAAAAAAAAATAATCTGTAGAGCCATCAATTAATTTCTAGCTAAACAGCTTATTTGCAATTTCATTGAACGTAGTTGATTGTAATTCAAAATTATGGTCGTGGGTAGCACTGTTTATTATTAAATATTAATAATGTATTTTTTTAAATAAAGTGCCTTTTGGGTGGTAATAATGGCACAATTATTGGGAAATAGTGCACATAGATATGTTATGTTATTTTGCCCAAAGGTGACATTCCCACTCCAAATTTATTTTCTATATTTTCTAGCATAATCCAATTTAGTTAATCTTGTCCTATCTTCGTGCACTTACCTACTATAGGCATGAATTTTCTATCAACTTTTTATTTAATATAATTGTTCAATTATTTTATTTTATTTATTAATTTGTGGGTGCACATTATTTTCAATCCTTGTACATCAGCAGTTTGTGCAACAAATTGGACAATTCTTTGGATGATCTTCTCAATTAATTATTCATTAACCACTTTTCTTGTATTTTGTCTTATTTTAAATACCGAATCAAGATTTCATTTTATTTGAACAGGGCCACAAATTGGTGGAATTTTCTAGTGCTCGATTAAATGCTTAAAAGGGAAAATATCAATTTCATATAAGTAATGTTGGCTAATAGTTATCATATTTTGCTAATAGATTTACATATTTTTATATTCAAATATCATATATTAAAGAAGAATATAAATAAAATTATGACATTTTATAATATAAGTAAGTATTTTTATTAAAAACCTATGACTCCGTAGCCATTATTTAGACCAACACTATATTTGATATTTTAATGATGTTATGCCAACCTAAAAGATAATACTAACAATTAACAAAAAAAGAAAAATTATATAATTTGTTTAGTTAGATAAACCCAAAATTAATGAGGTAAGCCGCCATTAAGTTTTTTAAAAAGTAGATTGTGGGTGATCTTTTACGTGTAAGTGAACCTTCCACACTGATTAATTAACAGATGGAAAAAAGGCAAGATTAGATAAATATTTATTCACGTAAGTCTATCTTTTTGAATTAATTAACTCATCACCTTTTTATCATGGATTTTGTTATGGCGACTTGATACTATTTTTGTATATTATTTATTTACAGTTTATATCACAAAAATCATTTGTTCATGGCCTTCAATGGCTTCAAAATTGTTACACAAGATAAATATTGCTTCTTTGAAGGGTTTCAAGTAATAATTAGTTAATGATAGACACGAAATTCTTATTATCATTCGAGATGTATTTGGAAAGTATATATTCAATTTCGATACCCAAAATTTTTTCTAATTTCTTTTTTTGTATTCATGATCTCAATTTAATCAATTTTAGTATTATAAGTTTTGCTATCTTATTTGGTACTTTTATACCGAAAACAATTAACAAATAATCTTTAGTTAGTTAATAAAATCGAAAAAAATGATTAAATGGAAAGACAGTGGTGTTCAAAATGCCAAGTTAGCTCACATAATAAGAAAACACAGTTTATATACCACAAGCAAGTTATATAATTTAAAAATTACAGTAATTAAAGAGCAGAAATAAAGAGATAGCTGTAATCTTTTGTCTGTTCCCAGGTTTGGTTCGTTATTCCCAGGTTTGCGACTTTGCGTGGCTTTCTACACTTGGTTTTGTCACGATTTTTTTTTTTTTTTTTTTTNTTATCTCAAATATGTGAACAGTCTTATAACATATCACTTGAACTATTGGACAATATAATAGAATGTCACATAGATTATCAATAAGTCAAGATTCGGTAATTAAATTAATTTAGGTTTGTTTCTATCCAAGTATTCTCAAAATTTTAACAATCATACCATCTCATTAATATGATATATACAACATTATTATAGATATAATATTATAGCATATCAATTAACACTAAAAAACATATAGTATCATACATAACTCTGGTCGCACGTTTATTAAAGAGACAAACCCGATCTTGTCAATTTTGAAAACGGATCAGTTCAGACCCGATTCAAAGATTAAAAAATGGGCTGGGATAGGGATTGTGTTCGGGCCAAATTACTACTTTTAGGGCGTTCTTGTATATAATATATCCGCTCAAAACGAGTTTTTTTATTAACCAGAATTAATTTTGAAAAAAAGTGGTATGATTAGTTGTTAGTAGAATTTTGAGTTTATATTATAGTAATATTTAAAATAAAATAATTAAAGTTAATTTTGTTGTATAAGTTGGAGAGAAATGATATGAAATGATGATTAGTTAAAATTATGTGAGAAAATGAATAGTGAATTAAAATTGATGTGATGTGTAAAATGATTGATTGATATTATTTAATTATATTGAAAATATTGGAGATAGTATGATTGAGTTAAATTTTGAATATGGACTGAGTATGAATTGAATTTTGTAATAAACAAACATACCCTTACACTTCTATTTTCAGTTAGCACACAAATATCATCAATCAAATTTTACATGTAGAAAAATCACTCAAAATTTATTCTTAGGAAAAAAGCATTTCGATTATTATGTTAAAAAGTGGCAGTACTAATTGGACGTCTTGTCA